GATGTATACAAAGGTGTATGTCTTTTGAAAAGGTTTTCATTTGTTTTTGAAAGTTTGTTTTTGAAAGTGTTGTGAGGTGTGGTTTTAGAAAATAGGCAAGTGTTTTATTTTGCAAGTTTGATTCAAGTAACTAAGAGGTTGTCTACTCCTAAATTTCTCAAAGATTATTGCTATGTTCTAACCCTTTTAACAATTTTGTTCCACCATTGCATTTGGTGGACAATCTTGTGTTAGGATGTGAAAGGGACGGGCGCGGGTCATCATTTAGACCATAATTGCAATGGTGCCAAGTATCTTTGGGCAATTCTCTTTAAGGGACTTGATCATTTTTAAGCAACTTTCGAAAGCGTCATCGAGGGACTATGATCATTTGAATTGTGTTTGTTTTGCCCAAAGAGACCTAACATGCAAAATGACCCATTTATTGAAGGCAACAAGTGGAATACCCTAGGGGTGCAAGTGTGATTAGTGTTGTCCATTTTCATGCTTGTTTATCTTGAAATTAGGTCAAACTATTTTTGTTGTTTTTGATTCGCATACAAACCCTAATTCTAACATGGTATATTTAGAAAGCATTAAAGTGCGAAAAATAAAATTACTAAACTATTACAACACAATATATGGGAAGGGGGATACAAATGTTCAAATGGGGGTATTTTGACAAGGAATTTAAACCTAGACTATTACATCAATATTGAATTATTTACAAGATAATTGATTGCACAAATTAAATGGAAATAAAATAAATATGCAAGATGTAAAAAGGTTTTTTATATGTATAAAAAAAAGGTATTTTTATATGTCAAATAAACAAAATAAAAAGGTATTAATTTTTGGATTTTTTATGTTTAGGGCAAAACCCTAATTTTATTAAGTAAAATGTATTAATTATTAATGTATACAATATTTATTTATTATATTCAAAAATAAAAATCAAAATGAAGTATATTTGTCAAAAAGGTATTTTTTATATTAAATATTAATAAAAAAATAAAAGTGTGTATATTTTGTATTTTAACCTAAATATACTAATATATATATATATATATATATATATATATATATATAAATATTTGTATTATTTACTAAATATATATTATATATACAAAAATAATAATATTTAATATTTATAAAAAAAGTATATTTTATATAAAATATTTTCAGAAGATAAAATAAAATAAAAATGGAAAATAAAATGTGTTTGCACTATTTTAACATTTTTTAAATAAAAGTATATCTATTTGTTTATTTATGTACAAAAACTAAAAGAAACCAAATAAATGCCTAATAAATTCAAAAGTGGTGAGAAAAATATTTTTTATATTTTTAATATTATAAGAAAAAATAAATAAGTCAGAGCAAAAAAGAAAAAGTCAAAAAATCATAAAAATAAGCCAAATGGGCCTAGGGGGTGTGAAAGCAAAAAAGTGGTGTAAACAGAAATAACCAAACAGGCCCAGCCCACGTGGAGCTTCTTCAACCTCCAGCCATTCTTTATCCAAAAACGCGCGCTTTGTAACCTGATTCAAACACCTTGATTCCTGGCTTTTTAATGAAAACTCACAACATCAAAAATGTTCAGCATCAAACAACGAATCCATACATACCTAAAACTTGATCTAATTCTCAAAAATGAGAGAGAATTTCTCCATTCCCAAATCTTAACCTAATTTTTTATCAATGTTCAGACATCAAATTCTCATGACACACGTAACATAAATGAAAACTAACTACATGGGCATGTTCAGGGCTATGAATGTGACATATTTTCTTCACAAACCTAAAGCTAACAATGCCTGGATAGAGAGATACAAATTCATGAACTTACCTGTTCAGTTGAAGTTGTATCTGATGATTGAGGTACCCTCAATGCAAGGTGATGATTGGTACAGCTTCCTTGATGTCCAGGGATGCTATTCCAAGCTTTACTTTGTCTTGAAACCTTTTGAATCGTGCTATAGAACTTCAACTGCAAAACAAGAAAATGAAAATGGTGATGTTGCCTGGGAGTATTACAGGTCGTGTTTGAGGTTTGGAATAGCTTCAAGGGATATTATGGGATGTGTTTGAAGTGTTTTTAGCAAGAATGCATGGAAGGTTTGAGCTATGGAACTCAAACTGCAGGGATGCCCTGTTTTGAGCAGTTTGAGGGTGATTCTGGGAATGAGAGTGTTTGGGACTTGGTTGGCTCGTGTTCTAGCTCAGAATGGATGTTTAGAATATGTTTGACAAGTTTTCCTAAGGCTTCCTTTGCTGAGATGAAAGTTCGTGGATGATATACTATGTTTCTTACACTTTAAGCAACAAAAGGCAACTTGGTGTTCTAGACAGGTAGAGGCCCCCCTAATGTGCTGCATAACTCAGTCTTGATCAGTGCAATTAGTCCATAAACTTGTGCCAAAGAGATCTCAAATGTACTTGCTTGGATTTGCATATTGACATAAAGTTCACTTTTCAAGAATGGCTATTTTACTTTTTCTATTTATGGCTTAGTTCAACATGTAATGCTTAAACTCATAAAACAAGGCCTTGGAACAATGAATTAGCATTAAATTATTGAGTGTTGGATGGTTTAGAGGCCTGTAATCAAGGAAAGCATGCTGAATTCAAAATGGCACAAATGTATGAACATGTAAATTGACCAAATCAAAAGTGAGTTTTTTCCCATATTGCCAAATTTGATTCTCCCTAACCATGAGGTTGTTTGATGAGTTCTTGGACATTTTGGGAAGCTTGAAATGTGTACTACAATCCCTCTTTGAAGTGAAAATTGAAATTCCAAGTGGAAGTGTATGAAAAATGGTCTTGAAGTTAGGTAAAAACCTTGCCTAAAATAGGTCAAATTTTCTCTAAGTTAAGAATGGTTTGGTACCCTTGTTCCAAAAATTGTAACTTGAGCTACAAGCTTCTTTTGGGAAAACTTTGTGAATCAAAGTTGTAGATTATGCAATAGGCTATAACTTTCATGTTTTGACTTTTGCTTGAATCCAAATGAATCTTGGTGAGAAAGTGGGACAAAGTTAGGAAAAAATTAGGGTTTTTCATAACTTAGAAAAATTCTAAGTTATGAAAAATCTTCATTTCAAACCCTAATTTGCAATTCTTGATTTCTTGATGAACAAGTTTCATGATTTGGCATGTTTTGATGAAAAATGAATCTTGACACTTGATTTTGACCAAAAAGTCAAAGTTTGACTTTTCAGTATACAGTCAAAATTGATCAATTGACTGGGAAATTCAACTGTCAATCCTCTGTATTTGGGATCTTTTGAACTTGTTGAGCATGTCAAGACAATTCCATGGGGTCCTTGAATCCATATGTGAGCTTGGTTTGCCATTGGCTAGGTCAAACAGTCAAAAATTGCCTTTGTGCAGTTAAAACCCTAAAAATGACCATTTTGCCCTTTTGGTGATCTGATCAAATTTCTTGTGGAATTGTGATCCAAACTTGATCAAATGGTCCATGTGAGTTCATAATGTTGATGTGGGTCAATTTTCATGAGATTTGACTGTCAATTGGCCACAGTTGACTTTTTCCCCAATACAGTTGATTTCTAGGTCAACTGTCCAATTGACTGGGCAAAATTTGGAATCAGGACTTGAAACTTGATATGGATAAACTTGGGAGTCAAAAATGAAGTATGAAAGCCATCTTAGGCATTTTAGGTCAAAATATCTTTGTTCAAACACAAACCCTAATTTGGGTCAACAGTGCAAGGAGAAGTCTTGAGCAGAGGAAACCCTAATTGGATCTTGAGCTCCAAGGGTTTTGTGATGAGAAAATGTTGAGGAAATGGGAGGGCAAATTTTGGGGTACAACACCGGGGAACCACAGACTTCCCTCCTCGACGCATAGCTCCCCTAGGCAATGATGACCCTATCTTCAATAGGGTGGCGACACAGTTCCCAAGAGATGCCTCGTGTGCTCAACAAACACAGCCCATCGAGAGTCCCCCGAGCACTCCTCGAAAGGAATTATCTCACGGGCGCGACACAGGGGAAACTCCTCGAGTAACCACGGGGAACTACATCTCTTGTCCGGGCACGGGACCCCGCGACAGAGGCGACCTAAGATCAAGTCATGGCTCCTACTCCAGGAACCACGACTTGGGGGGATCCTGTTCTGGACTGGGCCGGGCTGGCCCAAAAGCAAGGATGAAGGCCCAATCCAAACGGCCTTGCAGGGGGTCGCGCCGACCAAGAAGCCACAGCCGTGCCCGACACTATCCGCTAGTACGACATCCTCGACTTCATGCAGTCCAGCGCGACCTCAGCTCGAGCGCCCCTCGTAGGGCAGACTATGACCATTACACCATCACCTGGATTCTGAAAAGACCGCGTCCTCGTCCGTCCGTACTTCTCGCAGAACACCCAGGAAGGAGACCACGTGCGGGTCCCCACTACACACGTAGAACCTGACAGTTCCTTCATTGGGCCAAACCTGCCTGGCCCAATGAAGGGACCTTGGCCCAGCGTTGGGGGCTATAAATACCCTCTGTTCCCAGAGGGTCAGGTATTCATTCTCTTATCCATACTCATACTTTTTGCCTGCTCGTACTCTCACTCACTTTAACATCGGAGTGCCTTACAGGTATCCCCATCTCGTTCAACTTCAGCTCAGAGTCAGTCGTAACGGTTCAAGTCTGATCCGGTAAGATAAAAAATAAATATAAATTCTTATAAAAATATTAAATTAATAATTTTTAATATTTATCTATATTATCATTTCAATTTGATAAGTACAAAGTTCAAATTTAAATGAAAAAAAAGGTAAAAACATAAATAAAATATACGAATCATTTTTGACAAAATATGAAAAGAAAAAACCCGTTGATAGCGTGTTGGAGACCGAAGCAAATCACGAACAAGAGAAAACTCTCTCACTATAAAACGATGCAATCTGAAAAATGAAAGACTGCGGAGAGAGAAAGAACAGAAAAGAAAGGGCGTGGTGAAATTTCTAGAGAGAGAGAGCGAACACCCCATCCTCTCTCTCCTCGATGGAACCCGGTCAACAAGGCGCCACCGCCACCGCTCCAACCGCCGGCGATCCCATCGCCTCGCCTCCTCCGCTCGGTCATGCTGTTGTTACTCCCGATCCAGCTGTTGACTTTGATGATTACGTTGCTGAGCCTGAAATTCATGCGTTGATTTCAGATGAAGAGCATGATCATGTTCATGAGCATGATGAACTCGATCACGATTTTGACCATGCGCACGAGCATGAAGGCCATGAACGCGATCAGGTTGCTGAGACTGGTGTATCATTGGATGATCTCAAGCTCAAGATAATTAAGCAGGTAAAACCTTATCTCAGAAACTGTAATTAACCTTCGTTGACGCTGTTTTGTGAATTTTAATTGACTGGAGTTGAAAAAATTGAGAGAAAATGGTTGTTGAATTATCTTGAAACTTTTCGGAACTGTAATTTGATAGGTTTGATTGAAAATCTTGTAATTTTGTGTTTTTGAATTTCTACGGTTTATGGTTGAATGTTTTCTATGGTTCTGTTAGTTAATTAATGTTGCTTTATGTTATTGGCTGATTTGTTCAGATAAGTTAGTGAATTGTTTGTATTGATTTTGAAGGTGGAGTATTATTTCAGTGATGAAAATCTGCCAACTGATAAGTATTTGCTGAGTCTAGTCAGAAGGAACAAGGAAGGGTTTGGTAAGTGATAAGTTTTCTTAGTATATTATTAATTGTATTCTAGTTTGTTATGCAACTGTATTGTCTGAGTATATTTTGTTTATTCGGTTACTTTCCTAGAGATATTCGTTTGGGAGTTTTTATCCATGCATAAAAATGTCCGTATGAAATATGGAAGAATTTGGGTCATGTTATATATTATAGGAGATCCTAGTTGAAGGTAAATGTTAGATATTCCTCTTTCTAGATTCTTGCAATTTTGAATTTTGCTTATATGAATTAAGTTGTGAAGAACCCATCCCATTGCTTGCTGTGAATTACTATTAACAAAGCTGAACTGGAAGCATGGTCGTTGTTTAGATATTAATTCTAGCGACAAATTACATACGTGCAATTTTATTATTTGATGTATCCCGTATGGGTTGTTCAATTATACTTCTGTAGGATAAAGGATAATCATATTTCAGCTTTTTGAAAGATGATAGAGGAATATATCATATTTATCAATGCAATTGGGCTTATTTTCATTTTTAAAATGCAACTTTTTTTTAAAACATTTGTTAAAGTTCATAATAGGGGAGGGTGATTAGTGATTTGAATTGAAAGAGATGCTTTGATGGTAGCAGAAAACATCTCGGAAGCGGAGCGGCCAACCCCCGGGAATGGGAAAAGTGGGAATAACGTTATCCCGGATAGCGGAATAACTTTTTGTATACTAATAATTATATAATAGTAATCTATAAAACATATGTCATGTAATACTAAACTAATTTCACAACGCTCATAAAATATTTATAAAATCTAATGTCAAACAAAGAACCATGCTTAATCAAGATTCAAAACATCAAGATTCAAAACATAAAGATTCAAATTCAAACTTAGTAGTATCATATGAAAATTCAAGTAAACATAGAAATCATGTAGCATCATCAAAATATTCCTCAAATTCTTCATCTTCTTCATATTCCTCCAATTCTTCATCTTCAACTTCTTCAAAATAGAAAGAAACGGTGTTTACAACAAAACAAAATAGAAGAAGTAGAAAGTAGAAAGAAACAGTAGAAAGAAAAGAAGTAGAATAAGTTGAAGAATTAGAAGAAATTACCTGAGATGGCAGAAGGAGATGGAGGAAGAACCGAAGAAGGAGAATTGCAGGGAGATCGCGGCAGAATCGTAGAAGGAGAGTTGAGGAATTAGGGCACGATAAAACACAGCGAATGAGGGAGAAAGAAAACCAAAACTGTTTTAAAACAGAGGCATTTAAGTAATTTGGCCCAGAAAATTGTTTAAAAAAAAAGAGAACCGGAGCCGCTCCGCCCGGGAACTTCCCGCTACCTGGGAACGCGGCTGAAGCGGCCGCTTTTTCATCTCCGCCACCGCACCCTAAATAGCGCGCGGGGGGGTGCCGCACCGCTACGGGTGCGCCGCGATAGCGGCTGGAGCGCCCGCTATTGATAACTCTGGTATAGACTAAACCCTATGTAATATAAACAATGATAGTATCCTTACTCTAATAATGTTAACTATGTAGTTCTTTTTCTAGAATAATAATCAACAATCTTCATTATAAAACCTGGAATGAAGTTATGGCAGAATGATAATTGTTATTTAATTTGTTTTAAAAGCAATATCTAAGTAATGCACACACACTTATATCTGCATGCGTGTTTATTATTAGAGTTATTGTTGTCTTTGCTACTTTTTAATTGTATAGTTATTGTTGTTACTTGTCCATAGATTCGTTTGTGTATTTTGATTATCCTTTCATGCAATTCCTAATAAAACTGTTCATACAGTTCCTATACAAGTGATTGCTTCTTTTAGGAAAACAAAGAAGCTCACACCGGACCAATTATTTATTGCTGCTGCACTGAAGGAATCTTCACTGCTTGTACGACTCTTCCTTCCTTATTTTGTTAACATGCATTGTAATCCTCTTACTTTTAGTACTAAAAATTCTTCTTTTGGGGGCTGTAGGTTGTTAGTGGTGATGGGAAAAGGGTTAAGCGGCTCAATCCACTTCGTATCAATGAAGTGAAAGATCATAAGGTATTTACTTAAAGAAACATGGTACCTATTTTAATCTGTTGTGTTATCCCGAGTCTTACTCTTGGACTCCAGTTATTTACTGTTTTGGTAGAGAATTTGCCGGAGGACCATTCAAAGGAGAACATTCGGCAAATATTCCAAAAAGCTGGAAAGTAAGATGTCTTCCTTAACTGATCATTTTTCCCAGTCTCATGAAAGATGTTATATTTATTCTCCCTAATTTCTAATCATGTGACATTATCGTCTAATATGCAGTGTAAAAAAGGTAACTATAAATGACCCGCGTTCTACTACAGCGTCTGCTAAACATATCAAGCAAGACAAGTTTCTTGGTAGCAAGGTACATAACCAACTTATGTTGATAGTTAACCATGATATGGAGTGTTCTTAATTTTTCATTGCATTGTTACTTTTACTTGAAATTCCATTTTGAAGATGTGAAATGTACAGCAATAAATTTACATTATGGATTTTTAAATACATTTTTCTTAATTATGTTCTAAAATAGCTAATTTTTACTTCCTATTTATGTACCCATCCACCTCAATTTTGTTATACTGTAATCTTGTATCTTACTTCTGTTATGACATCAAAGCTGTACCCATTCACCTCAATTTTGTTATACTGTAATCTTGTATCTTACTTCTGTTATGACATCAAAGCTCTGAAACATGAGCGGTATGTCGGTACCGTTGAATGTTAAAGTTTGTCATGAGATGGTCGACATTCTTATAAAAAAACAGATGCCTCACCTTAAAAAGAGACTGCTCTTGGGTTAATTTTTTCGCTTTTCTGCTCTTCGTTTAAAATGCTCTTGGATAGATATACAATAACTATCTCGTGTCAGCTCCTACCAGCTATATTCTGCTATGCCTATGATGCCTTTATATCCTTATTTAATATTTTCACATCATTCTATGTTATCTATCTGTAGTTGCACGCATTTGTAGAATATGAGACTGTTGAAGCTGCTGAGAAAGCTGTAAGTTTCAGTTTATATGATTTCATATTATCATTAGGCCTTTGAATAGTGCTAGCAGCACACACTCTATCACACATTTTTCAACACTATAGTTTTATTTGTTAACATTCACATGATCCCAGATGAATTTTAACCAATAAAAGGGTGAGTGTTGAAAAAGTATAGTGCTAGCACTCTTCTTAGGCATCTATATCTGGACAGTTTGCTTAGTATCTGTGATGCGAATGCTGATTTAGGTGGCACTGTTAAATAATGAACAAGACTGGAGAAATGGCATGCGGGTTAAATTTCTCAATCGGATGGTTAGTTGCAGTTATCTTTTCTCAATTGACAAAATTGACAGTAATTGGTGTTGATGGTGGTTTTATGCTCTAGGATAAGTATGCTCACAAAAAACAACCTTGGAAGGGATCTAACTCTGAGAAGAATAGCTCAAGTCATGCACCTGAGAAATCTAGAGATGAGGAGAATCATGTTTCACATGCACACAAAAATCAAGCTTGGAAGGGATCTAACTCTGAGAAGAATACCTCAAGTCATGTATCTGAGAAAGCTAGAGACGAGGAGAATCATGTCTCACATGAGCATCATGAAGATGCTCATGAGGAGAAGGTGCGTGTTGCATTTGTTTTTCACCCCGCCAGCAACCGAGATAGTAATTTTAAGCTCAAACGTTATTGGTTCCTTGGCTTTCAGGATAAAATCATATTATTTTTATATTTTCATGTGAGAAATTTCAATTTCTTTTGCCCAAGCATGTGCCAATTATCTAGATATTATGAAATCATAAAAATTGATAGGCCTATCACTTGGGACCAGCACAAAGCAATACCTACAGTTCTTGGATTTAATGGAGCATCTGGGTACATTAGTTGTGTTTTGGAGAGCAGCCATAATCACTGCTTGCATTCTTAAAGCTAAAATTCCAAGTTTTGATGTGTATTGGGGTTTATATCATGTCCCCTTGTCTGCCGACAGTTTTAGAATCCTGTCTTTTTTCTTTCAATATGTGTTTGCACTTGAGCATGTTTTTGACAAAACCGGTATTAGCCTGTTTATTTGAGATTCTGAAGCCTGCAGAATCAACTATGGTGGAAGCACCAAATGTGTTGCTTTGGGAATAAGTGCATTGGAATCTAGTGATTTTCAATTTTTTGTTTGAAAAATTATCTCTTAAATATGCTAGACAGGTTTAGTATTATTTAGCTTACGTTTGTCACTGGTGCTTACCTGTCATTACAGGACGGGGAACATTTGTCAAAGGATAAAGGTGGGCAGAGGTACCCTAAACAGGCAAGAGCAAGAAAGCATAATAAGTATCGTGCTACAAATGGAATGGGTATCTATCTTCTATTCTGTAATTATTTTGGAGTTCTATTTCAATATATTACTATTTTGAATCCTTTCTCATTCAATAACTTCTTGCATTGTTCCAGGTCATGGAGGTACATCTATTCATACTGCTGAAGCATCAAAACCGCCTCCTGGACCAAGAATGCCTGATGGAACACGGGGTTTTGCAATCGGAAGAGGTCGGCCACTCCCTGCATCAATTTAGCAAGATTGAGAGGCCAGACAATGGACTGTATTTATTGTATTTTCAGCTGTTTAAGTGATGTACAAGTTTTAACTTGGGTCCCTTTGTGCGTTTGCTTGAGTGGATCTCAAGGTTTTGTTGAACTGTTAAATTTTGTTAAAAGTTAGTGTTGGTGGATCTCATAACATTGTAAGATTTAGCCTGGGGAATATGAAACTTTTTTTTTTGTGGTAATCCTCATTATTCGAGGAATCTCTGTATCAATATTTCATAACGAGAAATATGTTGGAGTGGATGAAATCTACATGTTTAATATTGATTGAAATGATCTAGGTTGACATTATCACAGTTGTTTAAACTGGAGGGCCTTAAGTCATCCCTAAAGTAGAGTTTTACTACACAGTGATGAAATACCAAGTCAATTTTAGTCCTCTTTAGATGTATTGTAACAATGAAAGAAAATAAGATTATTAGGAGAAATACTTATACAGGCACAACTCCAAATAAAAATCATTTGGTCACTCTCGTAAAATATAAATTATTTAAAAATTTATATAATACTTAATTCTTTTCTCTTCTATATATTGTGTTTAAATGAATTTTATTTAGGCTAAAAAAAGTGTTACTCAAAAATTAGATTTTGTTAGTGTTCTGGATTGGGTCTGCCCGTGGTCCAATCAACAGTGAGGTCCAATCCAAGCTTGTTAACATATCATGTTGAGCAGTAGATCTTCCGAGTACACCCCGATCATGGGTAACTGGTCGACTGCGATTACGTCCCGCCGATGTCCGCGAGGAACGTCTCCGACGAGGAACATCCAAATCCAAGCTCTGTCCGAGTACCCTCCTCGTAGGGCAGACTTTCAACCTCTCCGAATTTCGCGGAGTCCTCAGGGTCCCGGGAAGATCGCGTCTCTACCCTCCCTATTCTGCGGAGAGCATCATCCAGGTAGGGGACCACGTGCAGGTCCCCACTACTCACGTAGAACCTGACAGTCCCTTTGTTGGGCCTGTTTGATCAGCCCAATAAAGGGACCTTGGCCCAGCGCTGGGGGCTATAAAGACCCTCTATTTCGAGAGGGTCGGATATTCATTCATTCACACCTATATACTTACTTGCTTGCTCATTTCGTCTCTCACTTTGCCATCGGAGTGTCTTGCAGGTACTTCCATCTCCTTCAAATCCAACTCAAAGCCAATTGTGGTGGTTCAACTCTGATCAGGTACGATCAGTGGTGCCGTCTGTGGGAATCTAAGCTCCCTCGTCTTCTCTCCGTTCAAAAAGACAAAAGCTAACAATCCTCGACTGTCATGGCTGACCAGACTCAGGACAACCAGAACGTCCGTGTCATCGAAGCTAACAACAACATCACCGACAATAATGCTGGCCCCGACAACGCCGACATCACCGGCCATAACACGGACCCTGGCGGCAACATCCCTGGGCCTTCTAACTACCGGGACGGAGCCACGGCTTCATCTTCATCAATCCATCCTCGGCTTGAAGAAGATCACCCAGTTCCTCTGAACTACCCAGCCATCCAATTCCACGAAGTCCCTGTCCCCGCGGGGGCAGACGCCACGACCAGGGCACTGTTCGTAGAAATTAACCAGACCAACTATCTCATCTTTGCCCAGGGGAAAGACTGAGAGCACTCGAGGACGATCGAAGGCCCCCTAGAAGACACAAGAGGCCTCAATCTCCTCCCCCTCGACAAACGGACGAACGTCCTCGATCTCCCCCGCAGAGACAGAATCAGGACGACCCCCTTTGGAGAGGGAACCACTCGTCGACGCAGGAAGGCGCGACCACGGCCCTTCACGGTAAGAACGAAGACCTCCCGGAGTCAGACACGGAGGAAACCATCAACGGTCACACTGCTCAAGGAACGTCCCGCACGACCAGGGCCACCGTGATCGACAATACATCGGATCCCCGTCCCGCTCTCCGGAACTAAGTGACGAAGACGACCCCCGCGGTCCCTTGTCACAAGCTATCATGGAGGCACCCATTCCCCCGGGCATGGAGAAGCCTCCCCACTTAAAAGAGTATGACGGCGTCGCCGACCCGGTCGACCATATAGACGGGTTTGAAGCCATGTTGCATTACCATAACATCGGGGGACCAATCAAATGCCGGTTATTCCCCACGACCCTGAGGAAAGCAGCTATGGACTGGTACAAAGGTCTCGCCCCGGGGTCAATTACCTCTTGGCGAAACTTGAAGAACCAATTCATCAGTTCGTTCACTGCTTCGCGACGACACCCAAAGACCGAAGCAGCGCTCGAGGCCATCGTCCAGAAGAACGATGAGACCTTGAGAGAATTCATCAACCACTTCAACCGAGAAGCCATTCAGGTCCCCTGCATGGACCATAAGAAGAGATACCTGCTGGAGAGGGGACTCCTCCCCGGCACCGAATTCAGAAAAGTTGTGGGCATCGAACCACCCCGAACGTTTGATGCCCTCCTCGAGAAGGCCAGAGCCTACATGGACTACGAGGAAAGAGAAGCGGACAACAGAGCCCGAGATCCCAGAAACCGCGGATCCAGCAGCAATCCGCGACAAGACACTGCCCCTCCTCGACGAACCAGGGAAAAGAGAAGGGACGATAAACCCCGGGACATCCGGGAACAAAGGGGACCCTCGAGACAATTCACAGAATACACTCCGCTCACGACTTCCCACGAGCGCATCTTAGCGGAGTGCGCGGCTACAAATTTTAAGAATGGCGGTGTCAAACGTCTCCGTCCAGCTCCTGCCAAACCCGGGGTAGATCGAAGCAAATACTGTCAGTACCACCGGAGCCACGGGCACCTGACCGAAGACTGCGTCCACCTCAAGGATGCCATTGAGACCCTCATAAAATGGGGAAGACTCACACAGTATCGGAAAAAAGACGCTCCTTTTCAGGATGCCCGTGAGACAAGGGAAGCAGAAGAGGATGCCTGACCATCTGACGAGTCGGTTCCCATCCAAACCGCGTTCTCCGTCACAAGACCCGAGGACTTCTATGTCCCCGAACACTTGCAAGAGCCTCTGTCTATGCACAGCAGGTGGGAACACTTCCCCTCCGCCATGGTCATCAATGGTGGAGGGTTCAATGATTTGACCATAAATTCAACTAAGAGGAAGCTGGACGAGTTGGTCGACACGACCCCCCCTCAAACGGTGACCTTTGAAAAAGTGAGAGGCAGGTCAGAGCCAATCACCTTCTACCTCGAGGAGCTCCCCGGAGGGGCCCCCAATTCGGCCATCCCTCTGCTGATAAGGGCGAGAATGGCCAACTTCGACGTACATCGCGTCCTCGTCGACGAGGGAAGTTCCGTCGACGTGATGTACAACCAGCTGTTCCAAACCCTGCAGCTCGACGACTCTCACCTCTCACCTTACGTGGGGTCGGACCTGCAGGGCTTTAACGGCTCAACCTCCAAGCCATGGGAATACGTAGAGCTCATGGTTACGTTCGGCGAGGATATGGCTACGAGGCAAGTCAAGGTGCGCTTCCTCGTCATTGATTGCCCCTCCCTCTACAATTGCATTCTGGGAAGGCCGACACTGGCAGAGCTGACTGCGGTGCCCTCCACCGTCCATTTAAAAATGAAGTTCTACACCAAGAGGGCACAGGTCGCCACTATCCAAGGCGACCTAGAAGCTTCCCGAAGGTGTTTTAACGCGGCATCCAAGGGACACGACACGGTCGACACTAGCACAAGGCCCACCAAGAGAGCTGCAACTACGCGATCAGACCCTCAGCGGTCAGAGCCCGTCAAAGCGGAAGAACAGAGAGCCCCTCCAAAGGTCGACTCAATATCCCTGAACACTCGCTTCGACCAGGATGAGCCTCCCAGTGGCGAGCAAGTCCCCCTTCGACCAATTCTGGATGGGGACTTCGAACTTGTTCCCCTCGATGAAGACCTAAGCAAAGGAGTAGAGATTGGCACCGGAATCCCCGACTTGGCGAGGAAGCAAATCAAGGCTTGCTTGCGAGAGAATACAGATCTATTTGCGTGGAGCGCTGCGGAGATGCCCGGACTCGACCCTGAGGTCACCTATCATCAACTCGCCATTGATCCAGCCGCTAGGGCAATAGTGCAACATAGACGTAGGCAGTCTCCGGAGAAAACGGAGGCTGCTGAAAAAGCTGTAAAAGACCTCTTAGAGGCAAATTTTATTTTTGAAGCCCGATATTCAACCTGGCTGTCAAATGTTGTACTTGTCAAGAAAAATAATGGAAAATAGTGAATATGTGTTGACTACACCGATCTTAACCGGGCATGCCCGAAAGATGCATTTTCTTTACCTAATATTGATATGCTGGTCGACAACTCGGTCGGTTATAAAATACTATCATTTATGGACGCATATTCGGGCTATAATCAAATCCCAATGGAAATAGGCGACAAACACTGCACCGCTTTCATGACTAGCTCGGGCAATCATTACTACAACGTAATTCCCTTCGGTCTGAAAAACGCAGGGGAAACATATCAGCGGATGATGAACAAAGTCTTCCGCAACCAAATCGGGGACATGCTCGAGGTGTACATGGACGACATGATCGTCAAGTCCCGAGCAGACATCGACCATGCTGCTCATCTCAGGGAAGTCTTTGCCCAAGCAAGGCAATGCAGAATGAGATTTAACCCTGAGAAGTGCACATTCAGGGTCAAGGCAGGCAAGTTCTTCGGCTTCTACTTAATATAACGAGGAATCGAAGCCAACCCCGACAAGTTCCGGGATTTCTCCGACCTCCCTACACCTACCTCGAAAAAATCCATACAAGTCCTGAATGACATGCTCACCTCACTATCCCGTTTCGTTGCAAAATTCGCTCAACACGCCCTCCCTTTCTTCAAGCTTCTTCACAAGGAAGCGGCCTTCGAATGGAATGAGGAATGCGAGCAGGTTCTGCTCCATCCTGAACAAAGCCTCTCTCAGTCGCCTGTGTTATCACAACCAATCGATGGGGAACCTTTGTTCCTATACCTGGCCGTCTCGGTCGAAGCCGTCAACACAA